AGATTTGAAATGGCGTTTTACACAAATTGATAGGGCATGCTCGTTCATGAAAAGGTGAAGGAACATAAGTATTTCTTTTCTTTTCTTGCTGGGCTTAGCATTCTTCCTTTTTAAAAGCTTTTATTACTAGACAAACCCCCCCCCCCCCATGTTTTTGTGTGTCTTTCCCAGCTTTGATTTTCTGTTCTATTAGAGAAAACTTGCATTTCAGGGTTTTTTGTTTTGTTTTGTTTTGTTTTTTAGTTTTTTTTCATTTTTTTGTTTTTGTTTGCCTGGTCCTGGGGCTTGAAATTAGGGCCTGGGCACTATCTTGAGCCTCTTTGTGCTCAAAGTTAGAGCTCTGTCACTCGAGCCATAGTGCCACTTCCAGCCTTTTCTGAGGAAGTTATTGGAGATAAGTTTCATGAACTTTCTTGCCTGGGTGGCTTTGAACTGTGATCCTCACATCTCAGCCTCCTGAGTAGCTAAGATTACAGGCATGAGTCACCAGTGCCTGGCTTTATTCAGGTTTGTTTGTTTCAGAAGGAGCCTTAGTGCCTGGCTCAATCAGTTGCTCTTATTCAGAGGGCCTGTGCTGTGGCACCTTGAGAAGGGCAATGTGACTAGTGGGAAGAACACAAGGGAAAGGAAGTGGCTCTGAAAAGAAAAGGAGCCTACAGAAACAGAGGGGACCAGATTGTGGAGATCCAGGAAGTTTAGACTTTACCCTATACAATATATGCAGCTTCCTAAGGCTGAGCTTTTTGAACAGAAACAAGCAAAGGAGAGTCTAATTACCTGAACCATGTCTTATCATTGGGTGTGGTAAAAGAGAATTGAATTTATAAGTTTAAAATCATTACTAAAGCCAATTTTTTTTGGGGGGGGGGGGGGAGGTCCAGTCGTGGGGCCTGAACTCTGGCGCTGGGCGCTGTCCCTCAGTTCTTCAGCTCAAGGCTAGTGCTCTACCACTTGAGCCACAGCTCCATTTCGGGCTTTTTTTTTTTCTTTGTGCTTATGTGGTGCTGAGGAATCAAACCCAGGGCCTCATGCATGCAAGGCAAGCACTCTACTACTGAGCCACCTTCCCAGCCTACTAAAGCCAATTTTTAAAATATTAGAGCAGTATGAAGACAAGTAGGAAAGACAGTGGAGGTTCCTAGATGAATCAGTCTGGAGGCTGTCATACCAATCATTAAAATAATAAAATTTTGGCATACAGTGATTTATACTTGTAATCCCACTAAGCCAGTAACTTAAGGCAGGGGACTGAGAGCTCAAGGCCAACATGAGCTACACAGCAAGAACCTGTCATAAATTAACTAATTAACCAATTTAAATAAAACTATATATTTGGGACATTTCAAACTAGGAAAAATGCAAGCATGTATAAATACATCAATAAAGTAAAAATAGCCTTCTTATTGCAATCAATACCTACAGTCCAAAATAAAAGTTTTCAATGAAATGATTACATCAACACACACTTGTGTGTTGCTGGAGACTGAAACCAGGACCTAGTTTATGCTAGGCCCATGCCCACCAATATGCTCACACTCAGCCTCTATATTCTAAATCGAAGTCTACACTCTCTACCCATTATGAGTTCAGAGAATAATAAAGTGCAATAAGATTGCCAAATTGACATCATGAAACTATAGTATATAGAATACAGAACTGCTTAGTTCTCAGAATAATTTACAAGCCAATTAAGACTTATGAAAAATTAGTCACATTAAAAAATGATTTCTGGGAAGCACACGATAAATTCAGAGCTTAGCCAAACCAATAATTAACATTTTCTGCTTACCATTATATTGAACTTGCTTTTTCTTTCCAGTTTTTGTCTAAGATATTTTGAAAAGAATTTTGTTTCCAGATTCCTTAGGTGTTTAATTTTTAAAAGTCAAGGACTGATGAAAACTTTGTGTTCCTAAGGGAGACATGTGCTCTGTGAGTTGCCTTGGTCACCTGTAGGCTTTTGTGTGAGGTCTTTGAAGAGAAATAGTGGGGCTTTCATGGTTGCTAATCAAAGCTAGTCTTTTAAGAAAAAAAAAATTAAAAAGGTTAATCTTTGTCCTTGGCACACTTTCTGCCTCTCTCTGGCTCTGTCTGTAATGTATTTTATATTTTGTTTCATCTTGCCTCTGATATCATGAATTTCTACAATGTACTACAAAATATGAGCTCATCCTGTTGGGGGAGGGATTACCTGAAAAGGAAAAGAACGACGTGCTATTCTTGTCGAACAAAGAGCTGCTTCTAACTCTGTGCTCATTAAGTCACAATCTTTGGGTATTTTTCCAGGGGTTGGAGTGGAGGCACTCTCCACTTTTCTGTCCAGGGGCCTGTAGTTGAGAATTTAGGCAATTTGGGTGGAACTGACCTCCAAAGCCATTTCCAGCTTTGGAAATTTGTTCTTGGTGGGAATCCCAGTTGTGTCAGCTTTAGTAATACATTCTAAGGGAAAGAAAGCCAGCTGGCTCAGCCACACACAGGCTACATTAATAGTGTCTCCTCTCTTTTTCCAAATATATGACATTAGTCAAGAAACCATGAAGAAGACGTCAAGAACAGAAACAATTGCCAGACAATCCTATTTAATGTATTTATTTAAAATGTGTATATGATTTCCCTTGAGCTCAAGACCTACATCAGAATCTGCAACCAGCATGGAAGATTCCATCCACAATCCATCTCTTAGCAGTGAAACCTTTAGCTACAGGAAATGTAACACAAATACAGCCAAATTCATGGCTTGAGTTGTTTGGTCTAGATGACCTCCTCCAAAAGTAAGCAGAGGCAGGGAGAGAAAGCTCTGTTTAGAGACTCCCAAATGGAAATCTTCTTTGGGTCACACTGAGAAATAAAGTGGTTCAACTATTCTGAAATATGAAGGAAAGTTGTGCTCGTGATCTTGCAGCCAAAGTATTATTTTATGTTTTTCAATTGTTGAGGAAGTTCTCTTCATTTGCATTTACTTTTAATGTAGTCAGGAATAGAACAAATACAAGGCAAAAGTTTAACTGTCATGAGGGAAACATTCTCTGAAGTTCTTCAGAGAATTCTCCACCCCATCTTGTGCTAAAATCTTTTAGTTTATTAACTATAGCAAAAAGACATTATATCGCCAGGCACTGCTAGCTCACGCCTGTAATCCTAGCTACTCAGGAGGCTGAGATCTGAGGATAGCAGTTCAGAGCCAGCCTGAGCAGGAAAGTCCATGAAACTCTTATCGCCAATAAACCACCAGAAAAACAGAAGTGGTGCTGTAGTTCAAGTGGTAGAATGCTAGCCTTGAGCTGAATATATACACACACACACACACACACACACACACACACACACACACACACACACATAATATCACATTGTGGTAACCCTTTTCATTAGAGAGTCTCCAAGCAAAGACATTGCTTAAGTTTGCGCCCAAATTTAGGCTCAGTGTGATGCATGCCAAGCCCAAGCAGGAACAAAGCATGCTGCCCAATAATTAAGAACATGAAGAGAAGTTTTGTTGATTTTCTTGAGAACAGAATTACTACCTCTGAGCTGGGCTCCTGTTGATAGCCCAGGAGAGACCACACAGATGCTGAGAACCCTGGTGGCAAGGACAAGCCCATCCCCCTCCTGTCACTGAGAATCCTCTCAGATCCCTGGGTTAGACAGGACTGTCAAGAGTGTAATACTAGATTGATTGTAAGGTCCTAGCCTGGGAAGGACAGACTGGGGAACCGTTGGCTGAGAACAAAGGCAGGGTCAGGGCCAGTGATTGCTGTGAAAGCCTGGCTTGGGAGATTTCTCAGGGGAATACATTCAGCTCTTAGGACTGCTATCTCTCTTGCCTTCCTGCCCACTCCTCCCACCCCCATTATCTCCATCAGCATTCTCTCCCCTTACTGAAGCCCTCCATCAGCAGGAACTCGGCCAGGGACCAGGCTGGAAAAGCAAAATAGACTAGTTTTCAAGAACCCTGAAATTGTTCCTTAGGACTGGAATTGTAAATACTAGGAAATTTTTTTGGGACCCAGAGATAAAGACTGGAGTGAGCTTATTTAAGATAGTATAGAACCTTGCCTAACTCCACCCCTCCACGGTAAAGGGAGCTGTGAAGGGGAAGGATTAGGGAGTGAGGGTCTGGTATGGTTGGAAAGAGGACAGACAACCAACTCATGGGACTGCTTGATAAGGCCCCTTTCAGACCTAGTAGTCTTTGGGTCCCCAGAAACCTGGTATGCTACAGTATGCTACAGATGCCAATTTGGGATGGCTTAGTCTGCTCTAACCTAATGAAGGGGCCTAATCTGGAAAGGGGAGGGGAGAAAGCCCGATGATAATCAAAGATTGGAGTTGAGAGAGAGAAGTGGAGGAGATGGGGGCTGCCACAACAAAAATCAAGGCATGGCTAGCTCCCTAAGAGGACTCTGCGACTCTGAAGTCAGCTGTGCTCCCCTGGGTTCTGGCATTTCAGCTGTCCCTAGGCTCTAGCCCCTCAAGTCTCCCATTCTCCTTGTCTGTAGATGCTGTGATGGGCAGCGACATGGTGAGGGTTTGCTCACTTCTCCAAGCCAGGCACTGTATGTTTTCCTTAAAAAAAGCCACCATTCTTGATGTCATAAGAGGTCTGCCAGGGTCTTTCCAATGCTGATAGTCCATGACTTTAGAATAGGGAGGTTAAGTTTTTAGGTGGGTTAAATAGAAAACACATATCGTTTCTTCCAAAGTAAGCTACTATCTCTCTCTTGGAGGAATGAGATTACCTGTGAGCCTCAGTTTTCTGACATAAAACGGAAATAACACGGTGCTGGGAGAGAGGGTGCCGAAAGCATCAAAGCCAGAGAACCTTGCGGTCAGGCTCTAAGGAAATCAACAGCCGGGCTCCCCACCGCAGCCCCAGGGCGGGGCCGGCAAAGAGCCGCGAGGAGCCCGGCGAGGAGGCTGGCTTTGTTCTGGCCCCGCCCCCGACTGGCCCCGCCCCGCCCCTCCCTAGATATCGCGAGAGGGCGGGCCCGCTTAGCTCGGGCGTCCGCGTCGCTCCCGCGCTGGGGCACTCGACCGGCCTCCTCTGTGGGCCGCGGGTAAAGAGCCGGCGGCAAAGGGCCGCCCGCCGCGCGGCGTGGGCTGTGGCGTCGCGGTCGTTTGAACGACGCCGGTAGTCGCTGTGTACGACCGCGGGCTCTGCGACTGCCTGGCGGGTCTCGGTAACGCCCGACCCCCCCATTCTCCTGCCCCGGCGCTGCAGCAGCGACCCTGAGCGGACCGCCCGAGCGACCGGCCATGGCGGCGTCCACGGCCTCGCACCGGCCCATCAAGGGAATCTTGAAGAACAAGACCTTGGCGGCCCCCCCGGTGGTGGCCTCAGCCCAACAGCCCGGCCCGAACGTCGACGAGGAGCTAAGGTGAGAGCCTGGGTGGGGAGGGCGGGGGGAGTAGTCTCGACCCCCCCTTTCCCGCGATCCCCCCACCCCACCCCACCCGGACCCGAGCGCGGCCGGCCGGGGCGGTTCGTGGATGTGCCCGGGACACCACCGGGCTCCGCGGCTCCGGCCCGCGCCAGGGTGCGGTCGGGAGCGGGGGTAGTTACCGTGTTTTCTTCGTTAACTATATGTGTATTTAATTTCTTTTTAGTAAACACGATCTTTGAACTCTTGTCCTGAGAGCCTTAAGGACTCACACGGAGTTTTTAAGACCTTATCTGTTAAGGGTTTATTATTTCTTAACCTATATGGTCTGGAATCTAAAACTAAAATTCTTCGATAATTAAAGAAATGTTTTTCTTGCCTTAGGAATCCTTTAACGATCCAGGCTCAAGACTAGTAAGAGACCTCTTTCTCTCTCTCTCAAAAAAAGGACTTATTTCCTTATTAATCATCTTACCACACTCATTCTGGTTCTCTGCTTTGTTATCATCTCTGCACTTCAGTGGAACTAGAATTTTCCAAGTCCTGATCTATACCTAGTGGAAAATTATTTATTGCTTCATATTTTACATCTGCAGTTGGACTTCTAGTTTGTGGTCCTGTTCAGATGTTGTCCAAACTCAGGAGAGCTTAATGTTGACCCAAAGCACTGTGCATATAAATAATTGGAAACAATCCAAGGTCCATTAGGAGGAAATAATGAAATATTAATTATGGTACATTTGTGTAATGGAATAATATATATACCAACCTTTATAAAAGGTGATGCGTGTGTAATGTAACAACTTTTTTTTAAAAAAAATAGGGTTAAGAAAAGTTACTACTGATATTTGTACTGAAGCTCAGTGAGGATATTAGTGAAATAGTGACACATTACACTTAGAGCATTTCTGTATAAAATATCTGATTTATGACCTGGCATGGCAAGTTTTTGATTGTTACTTTGGAGAAAATACTAAATAAATAGGAATGCAACTTAAAGTTGTAGTCTTTTGGATGCTTCATTCTTAGGATCCCTCACATGCAATTTTCCAGCTTCTGCTTGGAGGTCATGGGAGTAAGAAAACAGAATCCTACTATAACATAACTGAAAAACCAAAATAGTTAAAAATAACTACAGAAGGCTCTGATGGTGCTTCAGAGTATTTAGCATTCAGCACTTACTTTTTATTATTTTCCAGTGTAAATTTCTTTCTGTCCAACTACCAAAAGTGTGGTTTTTTTTCCTTTTTCTGCTTTTTTACACCTTCTCAGCTTTGATCTCTTGTAACTTGTGACCTCCACTTATAGGTTAGCCCCCTGCATGCTAGGTAATAATTTTAAGGCAGGTCTTTCTGCCATAAAAGACATTAGACTAAGTAGGTAAGTTACTTCATCTATAGGAACTCCTGACAGGGCAGAGTCACTTCAAAGGGATTTTTTCAAGTAGGTGACTGACCCTACTAGTTCAAAGGTCACAATCCTATCCTCAAAGGGAGCTACAAAGCCATAATTTATTTATTGAGGTTTATGATGTATGATTTCAAGTAGTAAAAGGGTATGGACTTTTTCATAATGGTAAGTTACAAGACTGTAAAAAAGTTAATTGTACTACTAAACAATATACATTATTATTTTGTCACAGTTCAGAGCAAGCAATATTAGTAACTTTATGAGAGCCTCTTTAAATAGAAACATAAAGGTATAGTTGAATGCATTTTAATTTTTTGTAAAGTTTACTTAAATATCATATAACAAGAACTGAAAAATACCTCTTGCAATTACAATGTGCTCAAAATTTGTAAACATACAAAAATAGTATAATGGTCTTACTTGAAGTGTTAGAACAGACTATAAGGCAGGTGCATCTCAAATTAATGTGAAAATAACCAGGAATCTAAGTTGTCATTACTTGCATAAGTCCCACAGACACTAAATTATAAGTACTAAACCTTTGCTCTTAGGGAAAGTATAAGGTTGGGTTTTTTCAACCCTCTAATTACATTTCTATCAACTGATCAATACATAACCTTGTTTTCTATGTGATTTTTATAAAGACACCTTATTTAGCAAAACATTTCCTTGTTTAGCTTCAGCTGTGTGCATTGGGTAACTCAAATTTCTTCCTGCTCTACTTATGTCTAAGCAGCCTAAGCACCTTCAATATTGGATTTTAGATACAAATAAATTTTAGCAAGTAAATGAACTCCCAAATAGAGAATCTATAGTTTTTGTATCACTATCTTACATGTTGTTTCACATGGAGGGTTTTTTTTTTTGAAGATAGATTTTTTTTTTTAAGGAAAAATATTCACACTTTATAAATTTGTATAATTCATATACATGCATATTATTTATAGCTAACTCAAGACAATATACACATAAAAGTAAGCTTTATAAACTTGAGGTTGATATTTGAAATATTCCAAAATATTTCAAATTTTGTTTTTTAAAAATTCAATTCTTATCAAAACTGATCAAACAGTAATTAGAGGGTTCTTTTAGTTGACTCAGTACTGTTATTTTTGTTTGATTGGTTTGTACTGAAACTCATTACCTTCCTGCCTTAGCTTCCAGAGTTGGGAGTGCAGGCATGTACAACATGCCTGGCCAATGCTGTTATTTTCTTATTGTTCTCCTTATACTTTTTATATTAATATTACTAGTTTCAGTGAGTGGTTTCCTTAGGTGTCAGGTTAACTAAAACCCATAATGCACATAATTAAGCATAGATAGATGTCAGCATATTGCAACATGTACTGTTTAATATAAATGCTACTGTCATCTTCTGAACCTCTTCTTTCAAAATACTTTGAAATGTAGTATGTACAACTTGGGAAGGTCTAACCTAACATACCTAGCAAGTATGTGCGTATGTGTGTGTGTATTTCATTTTAAAAAAGATCTCATTGATTCTAAGATGTGCCACCTATAAAGAAAAAACTTATTGCCAATTATAGAATGCTAAACATTTTAAGATTTTTTTCAGATACATTATAGTGTGAATAAGGTTCATTTTGAGATTGTTGAAAACATAATAGTAAAAGTGCTATCTTTAAAAAAACTTATTGTTATTATAAAGGTGATGAACACAGGGATTACAGTTACATAAGTCAGGTAATGAGTACATTTCTTTTTGGACAAGTCACCATTTCCCTCTCTTTCTCCCAATAGTTTCTTTCTGTCTTACGAGAAGTGTTTTTAAAACAATAAGTACTTAATTTGAATCAATTGCCTGTCTACCTCTCATTAGCACATTTTATTAGCTCTAATTTTCAATGTATTTTTCTTTATCTTAGTTTAACTATTAAGTAAGTTAATAAATGTTGTTAGTCCCATTGTAATCAAAATGTAGAGATCTAATATTTTTCCCCCAATATCTCAGGTTATTTTACAGTCTACTTTGGAACCTGCTACTGTTCGATTCAAATTTTACATAGTCTTAGATAATGCACTCAAGTTCAATTTGAAATTTATGTGTTTAATATAATTTAAGATGTAAGCATGCTCCAACTTTGTATTTTTCTGCTCACTAAAGGGATGTGTAATATTGCAGTCAAATGCTAAGTAAAATAAAAAGTTTATCTTCCAAAAGTTACCTTTTCCTTGCTTGTGACTGCTTTTATTGTTAAGTCTGTAATTAGTTCAATTGTGGTGTCAAAATTCAAAACCTTGTACTTGTCAGCCTACATAAATTAAATCGTCATTTAAGAAAGAACCATTTATTGCAATATGCAATTAAACTTTTAACACCTTGAAGCAAATTCCCACTCTGAGCACAGCCAAAACTATCAAACAAGTTACAGGCAACAAGAAGTGCAGTTAGACTTTAAGATAACATTATATGAGCTAATGAAGTGAAAGTAAAAAGTAGTGACTTTAAAGGACCAAATTTAGGCTAAAAATCAGTCACCCTAGCAGGAGTGGAGAAACTGAAACCAGCAGGTGCCCTGCCATCATAGCAGAATCTCTCATGTCAGTTACAGTGTTCCTATTTGTGTTTGTGGAGATACCGACCCAAATAAGGTCATACGTACAGTTCCTGATGGTATTGAGCTTAAACTCAGCGTGGATTGGTCCTTGAATTTTGTTAATTCAGAAAACATTAGGAGTGCTAATTTCCATATCCAGTCTTTACTAAGAGTTTCTTGTATAAGAGTTTCTTGTGCTTCACAAACTTTTCACTTAAGAATTCCTAGGATTTTTTTGGAATCTGCTTTCTTTACAAGTGCTTGGGTTGTTTTTGTTTTTTCAAGATACTGTTTATCTTTCTTGGATGAACAAGCATAGGGTTTCATTTTTTTCCTAGTGTTAAAGAAATAGTTGATTTTGAATATGTAAAACTTTAAATTCCACTTATACAGTAGAAAGTAAACAGTGACAAACTGGGAAAAATAAGAGATAGTTATTATGTAGCTTGTTTATGTAAACTAAGAACTCACCCAAATTTGTGAGAAATTTCTGATAAGTAAAGAATAATAATTCAAACAAGTAAAAGAAGTATTTATCATTATTTGTTAGATAATGATGAAATAAACACAAAGCAACTTTTAAATACTACTTTATACCTGTTAAACTGGAAACTCTCCCTCTCTCCTCTGTTTCCCTCTCTCTCCTGTTCTCATTCTCTTTACCCCTCTTCCCCCATCCTCATCTGTCCTAGCAGTGTTTTGGTAATTATTGGAGACATTACAAGTAGTCCTGTTTTTAAAAACCTATACAGGTGCTAGATAGAAAACCCTTTAACCCCAACTACTCAGGAAGCTAAAATGGGAGGATTACTTGCATTGTCAAGACCAGCCTATCTTTAAATTAGAAAGAAAAAAAAAATGGGGCACTAGTGACTTATGCCTGTAATTCTAGCTACTCAGGAAGCTGAGATATAAGGATTGTGGTTTGAAGCCAGCCTGGGCAGCAAAGTCTGTAACACTCTTATTTCTTTTTTTTTTTTTTTTTATTGTAAAGCTACTATACAGAGGGTTACAGTTACATGAGTGAGGTAATGAGTACACTTCCTCCTGAACATTGTTACCCCCTCCATTGTTTTCCCCCTACCATCCCCTCCCTCCCTTCCCCGAGGTTCTTTTTTTTTTTTTTGATTGTGATTAAATGATTACATAATTTCAAAGTCACAAGTTCATTCTAACTTCCCTGGAGCAAATTGTCTACCACAGTCTGTAATATATAACAGTGTTCACATGTTATATACCATATTTGTGATCAGCAGCATGGGGATATTTAGTAGTGGTTCAACCAGATGAGCGGGAGTTCTTTGTTTCTTAAGTCCTGTTAGTTTTGTCGTTTCACCTAACCTTTTGGATTTAGCATCCACTTATCAGGGAGACCATGTACCGTTTGTCTCTTCGTTCTTGGCTTACCTCGCTCAACATGATTCCTTCTAGCTCCATCCATTTCCCTGCAAATGCCATTATTTTGTCATTTCTAATGGCTGCATAATATTCCATGGTGTATAGATACCACAATTTTTGGATCCATTCATCTGTGGTGGGGCATCTAGGTTGTTTCCATATCCTAGCTATTGCGAACAGTGCTGCAATAAACATGGAGGTGCACGTGTCCTTGTATATTGGTTCCTGTTGTTCAGGGTAGATGCCTAGAAGTGGTATGACTGGGTCGTAAGGGAGGTCAATCTTTAGCTTTCTAAGGACCCTCCGGACTGCTTTCCAAAGTGGTTGTATAAGTGTACATTCCCACCAGCAGTGTAATAGGGTTCCTCTTTCTCCACATCCCCTCCAGCATTTGTCGTTGGAACACTCTTATTTCTAATTAACTACCTAAAAGCTGGAAGTACTCAAATGGTACAGCGGTAGATTTGAGCAAAAAAGCCCAGGGTCAGTGCCTAGTTCCTGAATTCAAGCCCCGGGACAGGCACAAAAAAGAAAAAGAAGGCAAAAATTTTAAAAAACACACACAATCAGCTTGATCCAATACATATCAACATACATATTTTAAAGTATATATTTCATATGTTTACTATTTTACATGTGCTGGTATATGTATTAGTGGAAAGAATAAGCAGAAGTCAGAATCATTAAGGCCTTATGGGGCTGAGATTGTAATTAGTGAATTTTGTCTTGATTTTAAGAAAATGTAATTTCTGCTTATAGCCTGTATTTATCTTCTGTCATTATGTTGTGAAGCAGATTTAAAGGGAGTTGATATCCCTCTTCCTTTGCATTAGAGATACACTATTATTTAGGAAAAACTTGTTCTACTCTGAAATTAGGAAGCATCCAACAAGGGCATTAGTATGTGTTTGTTTTTAAAATAATTTTATTATAATACATAGCCAGAAAAGTATATTTAATGTAAAATTAAGGCTGCAGAAATTAATGAAGCAGGCACTCTCATGTGTCTATCATTCTGGTCAATAGAGGAAATGTTTCTACCCCTCAAAATGTCCCCTGTCCTTTCATCTCTTTCTTACTGGAAGAGAAACCATTGCCCTGATTGTTAGGGTATTTACCTAAATACACATTCCTGCACTCTGATTTTGCCTTCCTGGAGATTTGTTACTTTTCTTTTACAGTATCCTTATTAGAAAGTGTGTATCAGGAGGGAGCATTTAGTTACAGTATTACAGATCTGTTAATTGGATTGTTTCCTTCACAGAACATACTTTTCTTAAAACTTTTGTCTGTTTTTCATGATCCTAATCAGAAACTCCTTATTATTTTTCCTACCTTAAGTCTGTAGAAATTTATCTCTTTCCCTTGTTGAAAGAGAATATGGCCATAAAAAGAGTATTTTATATATGATAGGGGTATTTAATTAAATAAAATTCCTAAAACAATAATTAGGCAGAAATATAAAGTATTGCTTTTTAAAAATATTCTGTAGCAGTCTTCAGTATTTCAAAATTATTCATTTTGAATCTTAACAGCTAAAAGTAGAAGGCATTCAGTGCATAAGAAATTGAAACTTTTTGTTGTTGGTGGTGGTGGGCATGGCGCTTGAACTCTGGGCATAGGCATTGTCCCTCAACTCTTCAGCTCAAGGAGAGTACTCTACCACTTAAGACACAGTGCCACTTCCGGTTTTCTGGTATCTAATTGGAGATAAATGGACTTTCCTCCTGGGCTGGCTTTGCACCTTGAACCTTAGATCTCAGCCTCTAGAGTAGCTAGAACTACAGGCATGAGCCACCGGTGCCTGGCAGAAAGTGAAACTTTTTTTAGGGTACCATATCTGAACCCATTATCTATCATGCTAACCCACAGCTTAAAATTTAAATAAAAACAATTATTTACATGTTGCATGTTTATAGTTTAGTACCATATCTGAACCCATTATCTATCATGCTAACCCACAGCTTAAAATTTAAATAAAAACAATTATTTACATGTTGCATGTTTATAGTTTAGTTTCATAACATAGTTTCCATTATTTTAACAATTCCAAATTATAAGGACTGTTATTAAAAACTCCTACTTTAGTGCTCATGTAGAGTAAATATAATCAGGAGAGGCATTTCATTGGCATATCACAGGACTAGCAAAGGATAGCTGAAATTAAATTGCAAGCCTCTGTCTCTTAACTAGGTTTTTGCTGTTTTCTGCCACAAAATCAGTTACCATTGTGATAGAAACCTTAGCCATATCAGTACTAAAGCCAGGTCTGTTTATCCAGTCTAATTCAATTATGTGATTCTTTTAGTATTAGTGATATTTTAATTTGATTAGTTGAAAATTCAGATGAGCCTGGTGAATTACATGAGGTCCATGCTTAATGAATAAAAAGCCTTTCAAAATGCAGCACTTTAAAATAATGGTCCATGTGTCATAACTAGCTGTTAGCCAGATGCTGGTGGATCATACTTAGTCCTAGTAACCTATGAGGCAGTCTCATTCAAGGCTGCCCTTGAATTTGCTAGCCCAGGCCAGCCTCAAATTCAAGATACATTTGTCTTAGCTTCCTGAGAGCTAGAATTACATGCATGTACTACTATTCCTTCCTGGAACATTTGTAATTTTTTTTTGGGGGGGGGGTCCAGTCGTGGGGCCTGAACTCTGGGCCTGGGCACTGTCCCTCAGCTCTTCAGCTCAAGGCTAGCGCTCTACCACTTGAGCCACAGCACCACTTCCGGCTTGTTTCTTTTTGCTTATATGGTGCTGAGGAATCGAACCCAGGGCCTCAAGCATGCAAGGCAAGCACTCTACCACTGAGCCACCTTCCCAGCCCCAACATTTGTAATTTTTAAGGTGACTCATCAAACTCTGTTGAGTGCATAGAGAGGGGAATATGGTAATAAATTTAAGTATGCCATTCTTCAAGGACATTTTAGAACTTGGGAAATTGAAAATGTATGCAGTAAACTTTACTAATACATAACAAATGAAGAAAAGATTATTTGGGTCAGTAGTTTTTAAATTTACATTATATTTTTATTATTTTAAGTAGTTTTACAAAGGAGTTGCCATTTTACAAAGCAGTATGTTAATATATGAATATATACAATGCATCTTGGGTCCATGTCACCCCTTCTATCAATCTCCCCCATTTTCCTCCTCCCTTTATTACATTTACATAGTTCAGTTGTTTCTGTTTAAAGTATTCTTTTTTTTTTTTTTTTGCCATCCTAGGACTTGAACTCAGGGCCTAGGCACTATCCCTGAGCTTCTTCTACTCAAGGCTAGCACTTTATCACAAGTTCATTAGAAAGTCACAAATTGTATAGAAAACAAAATATTTGCTTATTCTTTTTTTTTTTGGGTCTGGTCGTGGGGTCTGAACTCTGGACCTGGGTGCTGTCCCTCAGCTCTTCAGCTCAAGGCTAGCGCTCTACCACTTGAGCCACAGCGCCACTTCAGGCTTTTTTCTTTTTGCTTATGTGGTGCTGAGGAATCGAACCCAGGGCCTCAGGCATGCAAGGCAAGTGCTCTACCACTGAGCCACCTTCCCAGCCCAATATTTGCTTATTCTTAATGAGATTGATATTTAAGACACTGAATTATTGAGGATCTTAGTTGGTGAATACTTTATTGAACAAATATTAACAGGTGCTTGGAAACCACTTTTGTTTCCCTTAAGTAAATCCAAATGTATTGTTTCTTAGCACACCCTTGTTTTCCAGATTAAAAAGTTATGATTTTTTGCAGTTTAGCTTAGTATCTGAATTTAGTATGGTTGTCTAGTTTTATGTGTTCTGATTTTTAGAGATATCCTTGAAGAAGTTAGGTTAGGGAAGTACTCCTGTAATTTTTGTTCTATTTGTTTTGAAAGATTCTAACTGTATGTCCCAGTAAGTCCTCAAACTCCTGATCCTTCTAACTCAGCCTTCCAAGGCATAGACCATTACTTTCTGTTTGTCTGTCTGGTTGGTTAGTTGCTTTGATTTAATTTTTTTGAGACAGGGTCTTGCAGTATAATCCAGGGGTGTCTTCAAACTCACAATCTTCCTGGGTCTGTTTCCAAAGTTAAGAGATAGAGAAATGTACCATATGCCTGGCCTGTTTATGATTTTATTAAAACAATTCTTAATATATAGTAGAACAAAAATAGTTAAGTACTGATATTGGATAATGGCATAGATTTTAGTTTTAACTGTTAATCTATAGACCAGACGATAACTAAGCATATCATAGTATGATAGGGTTTTGAATGGCTAATTCTGAAGCTTAGGTTTTAATGTATGGGCACTAAGTATTCTTTTCTTTTTCAATTTTAGTAAAAAATCTCAGAAGTGGGATGAAATGAACATCCTGGCAACTTATCACCCAGCAGACAAAGACTATGGTTTAATGAAAATAGATGAACCAAGCACTCCTTACCATAGGTAATATACATGGACATTTTTTTTGTGACTTGCTTACATTTTGCATTGATATGAGCTTCTGGATAACAGCATATTTGAATTTGTGTTTTGTTTTATATAATTAAAGTAACATACATAAGTTATTAGTAATATAAGTAATGTGTTATTGGAAACATTTTGTATATCACAATCATAGTAACATTCAGTTGTTACTTATAATAGCAGGTGCTTGCTTTCTTCTAATGATGGACAGAGAGGAGTAAGTTTTGCCTTCTTGAAAGGAAAATGAGATTTGAGTTTGTTTCCCAAATAGAAATCAGAGACTTCCTTTGCAAATAAACAAAAAGGGTAACTGATAAATAACTGTTACCTTACTCACTCATTACTGTTGTTCATATCCTTATTTTTGAGCTTATATAATTTGTAGTTCAGGTATTCATATTATGGTTTTTGAGTGTTTTGAATGTAATGTTTTTACTTGTTTTCCTGGTTGAAAAATTATATTTCATGTATTAATTAAAATGTGTATGTTGACCTAGTATGATAGGTGATGATGAAGATGCATATAGTGATTCAGAAACCAATGAAGCCGTGACTCCAGATGTCTTAGCTAAGAAGTAAGTATTAAAGCAGTTTTGCAATGAATTTTAAATTGTTCAATCTTAAATACATACTATACTGCTTATAAAAGGCTGGGAGGCTAGAGAATGCTGAGGATTGAACCAGTACTAACCAGGCTTACTGCTCTATCACTGAGTTGTATCCCCAATCTCATCTAGATTTTTCATACCAATTGTTATGGTTCTGTTTCTTGGTTAAAATTAATATATGCATCTCATTGTTGCAATGGGTCCACCTGTATCCCTATTTAAACGATTTGAGATGTATAAGTCGTTATGTCGAAAACGAACTTTACAACTTTCGTGCGGGAGGGGGGGAGGGCGGGGAGGATTGGGTGGGGCGTGGGGGGAGGATGGGAAGGGGAAACAGGAGGCTACAATGCTTGATAAGAAATGCGCTCATTATCTTGCCCATGTAATTGTAACTCCTCTGTACAGTATTTTCACAATAAAAAAAATTAATATATGCAGGTGGCAGGAAATCACTGTTCAGGTATACCTAAAAATGGGAAATTAAGATGTGTCTTCATGTGCCAGACACTAATGGATCATGCCTGTAATCCTAGCTGATCTGAGCATCTCAGTTCAAAGCCAATCCAGGCAGACAAATGTGAGAGACTTGGGATGCTGGAAATGTGGCTTAGTGGTAGACTGCTTGCCTAGTATACATGAAGCCCTCGGTTCAGTTCCTCAGTTCCCTGTATGCAGAGAAAGCCAGATGTGTCTTCATATGTTGTTGTTGTTTTTTTGTGGGGTGGGGGGGAGGAGGGGGTCTGGTCGTGGGGCCTGAACTCTAGACCTGGGCGCTTTCCCTCAGCTCTTCAGCTCAAGGCTAGTGCTCTACCACTTGAGCCACAGCGCCACTTGCGGCTTTTTTTTTTCCTTTTTGCTTATGTGGTGCTGAGGAATCAAACCCAGGGCCTCAGGCATGCAAGGCAAGCGCTCTACCACTGAGCCACCTTCCCAGCCCCATATGTTTTTAAATACCTACTACTTACTTTTTAAAGAAGAAAGTAAGAAAAGCAAATACAGGGACCGAGAATGTTGTTTAGTGGTAGAGTGCTTGCGTAGCATGCATGAAACCCTAGGTTCGATACCTCAGTACCACATACAGAGAAAAAGCCAGAAGTGGTGCTGTGGCTCAAGTGGTAAAGTGCTAGCCTTGAGCTGAAGAGCTCAGGGACAGTATCCAGGCCCTGATTTCAAGCCCCAGGACTGCAAAAAAAATAAAAAATTAAAAAAAAAATAAAGCAAATACAAATTAATTTATAAAACTAAAGTTTGGGCTGGGAATGTGGCTTAGTAGTAGAGTACTCGCCTAGTATACATTGAAGCCCCAGGACTGGCAAAAAAAAAAAAAAATCCATTTTACATTAGCTGGGTGCTAGTGGCTCATGCCTGTAGTCCTGTAGTCAGTCAGGAGACTGAGATCTGATGATCATGGTTCAAAGCCAGCCCAGGCTGGAAAGTCTGTGAGACTCTTAGCTCCAATTAACCACCAGAAAAACATAAGTAGTGCTGTGGCTCAAAGGGCTAGAGTATTAGCTGAAGAGCTTAGGGACAGCACCCAGGCCCTGAGTTCAAGCCCCATGAGTGACCAAAAAAAAAAAAACACCAAGTTTTTTCAACCATTGTTATTCATTGATTTTTAGCACCCGTTCTACTATTCTTGTTTCTTACTGGTTTCTACATCTATTCCTACTCTTGCTTTGTATTATGAGGCTATAGCTAACATGTTAATGATTTTTAGCTGTCCTGACACTCAAAAGTTGAATAAGAACTTTAAACAATACAAGAGTGTTAATTTATAAATGATTATCGAACAGATTAGCTGCTGCTGAAGGTTCAGAGCCAAAGTATCGGATTCAGGAACAAGAAAGCAGTGAAGAAGAAGATAATGACCTCTCACCTGAAGAGCAAGGTAGTTTATTTCCTTTACTGCATTGATAAAATCTAGTTTGGAAGGTAGGCAAACTTTTTTTTTAAAGGGGGGGGGTGTGTGGAAAGAAGTAAAGGGCAGGAGAATTAAAAGCAATTCTTTTATAATTCTACTTGTTATTTTATTGTAGTATAGTATTTTCCCTGTAATTTTAAGAATTAAGGAAAAATATTGCCATCTTTAAAAATTCTTTATAAGTATTCTTTACTTTTGTACTTTTTACTGCTTAGTACAGAGTAGATACTCAGGAAATACTTGTTAAATTAATGCTTTTAAGGTCATTGAGTAGATGGTCTTAAAGTAAGTAGAGGTAAATGTAACAGCTAATTAGCTTGTTCCTTGTGCTTTTTCTGTTTTAAAATAATAGTGCAATTTATCAAATGAATCATGGAGCAAAGAGAAGTAGTATCATAAGAAGAGAAAGGGAGACAACCTCCTTTTTTAACATGGAGGGAAGGAGACTCTCCTAGTCCATACTAAGCTTACACACAGATAAGACTACGTCCTCGTGGTTTATTTTTACAAGGAGCCATGTTTATTTTTAGAGGTGAGGAGAGAAGAGACACATTTTACCTTGTTGCTTTTTATACTTTTTGAGCAATGTGAATGTATGATCTCAAGAAATAGAGCTGCACTGCCTGGCTGCTGGGTGTGGATGACTCACGCCTGTACTCCTAGCTACTCAGGAGACTGAGATCTGAGGATTTCAGTTCAGAGCCAGTCTAGCAGCAAAGTCCTTGAGACTCTTCCTCCTCCCCACCCCCCCCCACCCTCCCCACCCCCCCGGCCAGGAATGTTATTTATTTATTTTGTATATATTTTTTATTGTAAAGATACTGTACAGAAGGGTTACAGTTACATAAGATAATGAGTACATTATCCAGCATTGTTACCCCCCTCTTTTGTTTTTCCCCTACCATCCCCACCTCCCCAACCGGTTCCCCTCCACTCACTCACCCGAAGTTGTAAAGTTCGTTTTCAACATAGTGTCTTGTACATCTCATTGTTAGAATAGGTCAGCCTCTATCCTTATTTAAGCATTTTGTTATTTCCCTTCCCCTCCCCAAATTAGAAAATCGTATATACAAGATGCAGGCCACTGGAATCAAATACAGTGAAAACAGGTTATACCATGGGGAAAGAACATACAAAAGAAACAAAAAAAAAATCACATAGTACATTATAAATACATTAAAAACAATAGCAAGAAAGATAAAACCACTTCTGTCCCTATCTTGGGGTTCATTTCGCTTAACATCATCTTACATGGCCATATGTACATAGCTTTTGACCATTTCTGCTTGTCCTAGACATACTCTACCTATTGCAAATAAGGGAAACCATGGGACTTATGTTTCTTTGGGCCTGGCTTACTTCACTTAATATAATTTTTTCCAAGTCTTTCCATTTTCTAACAGATGAGGCGGTGTCATTCTTTCTGATGGAGGCATACAATTCCATTGTGTGTGTGTGTGTGTGTGTGTGTGTGTGTGTCACACACACACACACACACACACACCCCATTTTCTTGATCCATTCATCTACTGAGGGGCAACTGGGTTGGTTCTATATCTTAGCTAAGGTAAATAATGCTGTGATAAACATAGTTTTATGCTGGTAGTGTTACAGTCTTGAGACTCTTATCTCCAATTAACCACCAAAAAGCCAGAAGTGGTAGAGTGCTATCCTTGGTGAGATCAGGGATAGCATCTATGCCCTGAGTTCAAGCTCCAGAACTGGCACAAAAAAAGAAAAACAGAAAACAGAAAGAAAAGAAATAGGGCTGGGAGTATGGCTTGAGTGTTAAGAGCTTCTTTCCAACTAGGTAGGAGATCCTGAGTTAATATCTGCAGATTCTACATCTGTGGATTCAGCCACATTAATCAAAAATGTATAAGTAAGCTTATATTAAACAGATTTTTTTCTTCTGTTATTATTTCCCCAAGACACAGTAGTAAAAACTATTTACATATTAGATATCACAAGTGGACCTAGAGATAATTTAAAGTATAAATTATATGTGAAAATTAGATGCAAATACTGTATCATTTTATATAAGGAATTAGATTTGTAAGTTGATGTTCTTGGAGGTTCTAGATCCAATCCCCTTCAGATTCTGAGGGATAACTGTGTAGTTAGTTTTACTATGCTCTTAAATGGAGTCACCAAAAGGCAGAAGATGTAGCTTAGTTGCAAAGTTGCATAGTATGTGCAAGGCCCATACTGGGTTTGAATACCACTCAAAAGGGAAGAAGGAAGGGAGGGTGATGGGAGGAAAGGAAAAGGAAGGAGAAAGAAAATACTGGTTTTACAATGAAAATTACCTATATTGTAAAGGAGGTTAGAAATTTTACAACTAAGTTTCCAAGTATTTGTCAGTGACTTTTCAGGATCTTAGTAATGTGTGGGTAAGGTGTAATTCAGTATTCTTTTCTAATAACTTGGTCTGAGACTCTTACCTGTACAAGAAAGAATTTGACAGAGCACATTTCAGATATTCATAATAACTTCCTGACTGACTTTTCAAAAGTATACCCTGAGGCATATGGAAGTGGTTTCAATTTTTTTTTTAGCTTTCCTCCATCCCCCCCCCCCCCCATTCTCAGCAAATTAACATAGTATTACTGTTTTATTTCCTAAGGGTAATTACTCCTCAAATTGTAGTTCCATGACATAGGCAGCAGGGGGAACCACTTGACCAGTTATAATGTCATTAATTCAGTCTCCTCTGGTAGTTACTATATTATGAAGTGTTTTACACTTAAACAACAACATATTTGAAAAGGAGTCATTTTTATTGATAGTAGAGATTCTTAGGATAAAATAGTAATTTATAACACAGCAATAAAAATTATTGACTCTGGAGTGTGACAAACCTGTTTGTTTATGCTGTGGGTTTGTGCTGCTTGGCTAATTTGCTTAATTTCTCTGAGCCCCCCTCATTCTTATTTTTTAAACTAGGAGCTATAAAAATAAAATGATATTCTAGATCTGACTGTGTTGAGGCATACTTTTAATCCCAGCTACTTTTGAGGTTGAGGCACAGACAATCTTTTAATCTTACAAATTCACAAGTGACTTCAAAACCTCATCTCAAACAAACAAAAGTTAGAGCTGCTAGTAACCATTAGATGAGATAGAGAATTTGAAGTACTTAGTACTGATTATAACATATCATAGATAAGTTGATGTTAACTTTTAATAACTTAAAATAGCCAGGACATGCTTTGTAAAAGTAGATATGTAGAAGCTAGATCTAAAATACAGCTGTGCACGATAACATATACAGGAGGCTCAATGCATTTACATACAAACTGACTGAAGGATGGTATACTTAGGAGAAAAATTAAAAGACATACTCCTGAACAACTCATATACTGGTTATCAAAATGAATACCTGGGATTAGAAGCCTGTTTTGGGCAATAGGCAAAGCAGGGGTAGTGGGGGGACAGGAATGGAGGAAAGAAAGGTGAGCAAATATCATTATACACAATGTAAAATGAACTATGTAACTGGAGGGTAGGGACAGGAGGAGGATAAAGGAGAAGAACGAAGGAAGGGGTGGCATTGGCCAAGAAGTATTGTACTTATAACCTGACTTATGGAATTACAATACTTTTGGGCAACCATTTAATATTTTTTAAAAGGAAGCTAATACAGTTTTGGGGTTCATATATAGAGAAAAAAAAGCCCATTTGTTCTTGGCAGGTTGTGAATATTAATACTAAAAGATTAAGTTACTTCTATGAAATTAATATTTGCCATTTTTTTTGAACTCAGGGTGTTGTCACTTGAGTCACACTTGTAACCCTGCTTTTTTGTTGGTTACTTTTTAGACGAGGGTCTTAAAAACTTTGTTTGGGCTGATCTAGAGCCATAATCCTTTCGCTCAACCTCCTGATTATAGATGTGAGCCTCTGTTGCCTGGCATACTTAGTGTATTTTTAAATGATATGACTGAGGAAGAAATAATTTTCTTAGACTACATAAATAAATACAACTTACAAAGGAGAAACACTATTGTATCAACTCCAAGGAATGAGATACAAGATAAAACATCATCACATCACATTTCTTTCCTTGCAGAGCAACAAAGGTGAAAAAGATGGACATTTGACTAACGGTGCTAAAATGCTAACCTAATAGGCATGCCCTGCGCTCCAGCACCACACACATATGTATACATGTGCACACAAAAATGACAGTTTCTCTTTTACTGTGAATGTGGGAAAACAGATACTCATATTCTATTGGTAGGTATGAAAAATGGTTCAACCACTTTTCAGTAGTTTCCACTCAGTGTACACGAACACATAAAATTAAAAAAGGAAAGTTTTGTGATACAGTATTTATCCTTACATTTGATGTATTCCAGTTATTGTACTCATTTCATCTTTTTGTGTATCAGTTGGGATTTACTTGTTTTTGAGAAACAGTGCTATATACACATGCATACATACATACACATAAAATGGTATGAAAACCTTGAAACAATAGGGAAATTAGAAATCTTTGAGAAAATGTACTTAAGTTGTAACTCACCACTTTGTAACTTAATCATTTAAACATAAATCTTGTATACAAGATAGATTGTTTACTCTATATTTGTGTACTTTTTTTTGGTCAGTTGTGGGCTTGAACACAGGACCTAGGGACTGTCCCTAAGTTCTTTTGCTCAAGGCTAGTACTCTACCCCTTTGAACCACTGTTTCCTGGTATTAATTGGAGATAAGAGTCTCCTGGATTATCCTGCTAAACTGACTTTGAACTGCATTCCTTAGATCTCAGCCTCTTTGAGTAGCTAGGATTACAGGTATGAGCCACCAGCATCTGACATTTATATACTTTATTGTTAAAATAGCATCATTCCCCCCCTCCACCCTACCCCTGTTCCTGGGGATTGAACTGAAGGCCTTAGCATTTGTCTCTGAGCCACAGCTCTACTTCTGACTTTTTGGTAGTTAATTGGCAATAAGATTCTCACAGAGTTGCCTACCTGGGCAAGCTTTGAACCACAATCCTCTGGTCGTAGCCTCCTGAGTAGCTAGGATTACAGGCATAAGCCTACCTATGCTCAGCACTTGGAAGGCACTTATTATTATACCACTTGAGCCACACTCCATCCTTCAGTTTGTTTTTCAGATAGTGTTTCATGCTTTGGCTTAGGCTGGCCTCAGACTTAAGCTGGCCCTTCTTCCCAAGTGGCTGGGATTGTAGACATGTGCCTTCATGCTTGGCTAAACATTATTATTTTGAAAGTGAAAGGACACTTTTGAGAGTGAAATGAGGATCAGTTTTACACTTCTGTTACATAGTAGGCATAATCTAAGACTGCTCCAAGTAAACTGAGATAAATGATCTAACAGTAAAGAAATAAATAAAAACCTATATTGAAATGATCTGTACAAGTTGAAAGGGGGATTGGAGGAGGAGGGACAGTAGGGGAAAATGAGGGAAGAGGTAACAAGTTTGACAAGAAATGTATTTATTACCTTATGTAACTGTAACCCCTCTGTATATCACCCTGCTAGACAGTAAAAAAAGCCAGCCTATGCCTTAATATGATTCAGTTTAAAACTTTATAGCATAACTTATGCAAAGGGACTTCCTTTGTAATGTTTAAAACATGCACACAATGAACTTTGACAAAATTCACCCTATGTATATTACTCTTTCTTAACTCCTCCCTTATCACTTCTTTTCAACATGCATATACATATATGTGTGTATGTATGTATACAACATATATATATATATATACACATATATAAATATGTATCTATAATGAATGCCTTCACCTTTTCCCTTTCTCTTCCTGCTGGTTCCCCTACATATGTCCAGTTTTTATAAAATAAGTTTTAGAAAAAACTTCAGCCACGTGTGTTGGTTCGTATTTGTAACCCCAGGATTAAGGAAGCTGAGGCAGGATTGTGTGTTCCAGGGTAATTTGGGTAACATTTTCAAAACAGGAGGAGGCAGGGAGCCCAGGAATGAAAGAAGAAAGAAAGAAAGAAAAAAGCCTAGAATGGCTAGAGATGTATGTAGCTCAGTGGCAAGAGCTCTTGCCTTGCATACAAGGCACCACAAGAAAAAGAATCTAGAGCTGGGAAGGTGGCTCAATGGTAGAGAGCTTGCCTTGCATACATGAGGCCCTGCGTTCAATTCCTCAGCACTACATAAGCAAAAAAAGCTGGAAGTGGCGCTGTGGCTCAAGTGGTAGAGCGCTAGCCTTGAGCTGAAGAGCTGAGGGACAGCACCCAGGCCCAGAGTTCAGGCCCCACGACCGGATCCAAAAAAAGGAAAAAGAAAAAGAATCTAGTTATAAAATGTTAGTGGTAATTTCTTGGGATTTTGTTGTGGTATTGGTGCTGTACTTTACCATTGAGGTACAATCCCCAACCCATATGTGTTACTTGTTTGCTAAAGAGAAAAAGGGTTGCTCTTTAACTTAGTCTGTCCATTGTAATAGAGATCATTCAAACCATTATTTTTGGTATGTTGCTGTTTTGTTTTTGAAGTTTTGAAATATGTCAATAAGCAGTCATAACAGAGCATGGTGGTACATGCCTGTAGTCCTGCCTACTAGAAGACTGAGGCAGGAGGATGGCTTGAGGCCACAAGTTTGAGAACATTCTGAGCAACATAGCGAAACTCCTCAAAAATATAATTAGAAAATTTAGTAACTGTAACCCCTCTATACATCACCTTTATGATAACAATAAAAAATTAAGGAAATTAGTTACAAAGATTTAGTATTTTTGTTTTGCCATATTCACAAAAGCAAAAAGAGAGGTGCACCTGGCACAATCTTTATAATTTGATATCAGTCTCAAAACTTTTCTTCTTCCCACCTTAAATAGAGACTGAAAAATGATTGTTGACTAGTACATATGAACATTTTAATTATTGTTGATAAAATGTGCCAGTTGTATTGAACGGGTAGCTCTTTGTATCTAAAAGTTTAATAAGGATTTTTAAAAGGAATTCGTTTTCTTACAAAAATATAAACCATGGAAATACTGAAAATATCCATATCCAGAATTTGCCACTATTAATCTGAGTTTTAATTTTCAGTGTGTATATATTCACAAACTTCATATGTAATATAGATATGTATCTATGTTTTCTTCACAAGTAATGACTTCTAATGCCCATTCTTCTGTTGAAATGTATTTGAACCATTTAAAGTAGAGGTGCCAAACTTCTGTAAAGTACATGGATAGTAAATATGTTAGATTTTGTGAGCTATATTGTCTCTATTAAAAACTACCAAGTTCTGCCTTTGAGTATAATAGCAGCTTTCACCATGATAAACACAGTAGACATGGACAAGGCTGTCTTAAGCTTGCTTTTTTTTTTAATCTTATAGAAAAAAAGCGACAATTTGAAATGAAAAGGAAGCTCCACTACAATGAAGGACTGAATATCAAATTAGCTAGACAGTTAATTTCAAAAGACCTACATGATGATGAGGACGATGAAGAAATGTCAGAGACAGATGGAGAATGCATGAATATCGAAGACTCAAATCAAGGTCAGATGTTATAAAAATACTACTGAGACTGTGATTCTCTGCACCTAAGATAATATATTTTATTTTGCTTTAAACTTGTGAAAAAAAATCCTCAGAAATTTTTGCTGTTAGACTTTTATTATGCCAGTGTTTCTGAAATTTCAGGCCTAGTGACCAGCTTTAAAATAATTTTTATGCTTAGAGTTGATTTAAATTGATCATATGTTACATATTGCTACTTTTTTCTTAGAGCTTTATTGGCTTTAGGCAAAGATATTTGTATTCATGTAAAAGTATGTTTTGTTTTTTGACTATTGCAGATCATATTTTATTTGGCATAACAATCTAAATTAAAGCCTATCATTGTCTTTCGTGGTGTGTCTCTTTACGTGATTTATTTTTTAGTGCTAAAGATTACTGAGTGCCCCAGGTGCTATTAAAACTTTAAGGATGGGGGGGGGGTTAAGGGGAGGGAAGGAGAAGGATTGGGATTGGGGGGGAGGGGGGAGGCTGGGAAGGGATGTGAAGGGTAAACCAAAGGAGGAGGCTGCAATGCTTGGTAAGAAATGTACGCATTATCCTGCCCATGTAATTGTAACCCCTCTGTACAGTATGTTCACAAATAAAATTTAAAAAAAAAAACAAAACTTTAAGGATGTATTTACGTTAAATACATGGAGATTGTTTTGACATTACTTTAGGTGCAGAAAGTATATGTGTTTACAGTTTTGATGCTTTGTACTTCCTGGATTGACAAGTTATTTTGATCTCTGTGAGAGTTCTTTGGATTTTGAGAAGGAATATCACTCAACCTGACCTGATTACAAGTGTGTGCCACTGTGCTTTTTTTTAAGTCTTAACAACTAGACCCTTTGGCCTTTCAATTCTTATCAGCCATAGGAAATAGATTTTACTTTATTTTTCATTGTTTGTTTATTTTTGAGATGCTGAGAACCAAACCCACAGTCTTGCTGGCAAATGCTTTACTACCAAATTATACTCTGGACTCCTGCTTCTGATCTATTTTATTTCTGCTTTTATCAAGAGAAGAGTATTTAGACTCTGTGGTATAGTTTTCAGCTAATAAATTTAAGATTTTTTTGTTTTGTTTTAGGTTTTTGAGTTACAACAAACTCTTAGGGTTCTACCTGTGATTTACTTGTAGAAATATCCAATCTGAAACCTATTTTACCTGCCACCAAATAAATATTCCTGTTCTGTTCTTTATAATATTTAGAGATATATACAGATTTCCTTCACATCAGTCTAATTTGTCCTTTGTGAGATAGACCTTATTAAGGTTTTTATACTTGATTTTCAGCCATACTAGTGGAAGATTATGTACATTGTTGGTTCCAGGGTTGAAGATTAGTTGGTTCTTTTTGTTGTTGTAACAAATACCTTAGAAGGTAACTTCAGAAGAGGAAGGATTTATTTTAGCTCATGGTTTCAAAGGTTTCTGTCCATATTTGCTTTATTCCATTACTTTGGACCTGTGGTAAGAGAGGATATGTATACTAGAACAGCTTGTTTACCTTATGTCAATCTGGAAGCTGAGAAAAGACAGGAGTGCAGGGCAAGGTACAGTCTCCAAGGATATGCTCCAAGAAGTTAACTTCCTCCAGCCAGGCCTCATCCTCTAGTTTCAAGAATCTTCCAAAATAGTACCACCCAAAACCCCAGGTACTAGTGGTACACGCCTTTAATCCTAGCTACTCATGAGGCTGAGATTCAAGGATCACAGTTCAAGACCAGCTGAGCAGAAAAGTTCTTGAGACTCTTTATCTCCAGTTAATCACAGAAAAAGCAGGAAGTGGCTCTGTGACTCAAGTGGTAGAGTGCAAGCCTGAGCAAAAGAGCTCAGGGACAGTGCCCAGAGAGAGAGTTCAAACCCCAGGACCAGTGCCTCCCCCTCCCCCCCAAAAAATAGCAACACCCAGCTGAGAATAGAAGTTTAAGCATAAAAGCCTATAGAGACATTTCATATTCAAATGATAACAGCAATATACAGCAAATTATATTCACTTTTTTCCCTTTTTTCTTTGCAGGATCTACTACAAGTGACCAACGACAAAACAAATCACAAGATTCATAGAAGACATGTATCCAGCATTGCAGTTGTTTGTCAAATACAAATCCTGTTACTATAATACATTGCTTCTTGTTCTCCACAATTCATGACTCAAGTACCAAAATACATTACCAGTTATGTATTGCCAAGAATTAAATGGTAACCTTTGAGGCTGGTTAGATGAAAATGTCTAATGCATAGATTCTTGTGCGTACTTCACCAAGACTTTAGTGTAACATCTTTAGTCCAAACTGCTTTACTTTTGTAAGAACACTGGTTAATTTGTATAAGATATTATATAGCTTTTTATGCTTTAAAGGTTAAAAAGTGTCTTTGGGGGAGGGAAGGGGACTAAGTTATTTTCATCATCTTCTAGATGTGTGATACCTCTTATAAAAACTTTGTAGAAGTTGTTTCTTTTTAATTTTTTAAATCAAAACCCCAATTTGAACACAGGATGTATAGTTGGATAAATATTCAGGCTGAAAGGTTATTTTAACACTTAACCTTCAGTTTGATTTGTCTAATTGAGAAGGATCATAAGTGTTACTCATGCATTTTTCTGGCCTGATACCTTTAAAATTCCTATAGAGTTTTTTATGTGGGTGTTTATAAGGAAAAGATTGAAAAATTTCTCATCAAAACTATCCGTTTTATTTCCACAAATAAATAATCAAGTCAAACTTGTGCTAATGTCTGCTCTGATGGCCTATTTTGGTATTTGGGGCAGACTTCAGATCAGAACGTTTTTTTAAAAAATAAATATAATTTAGCTTTTGTTCACAACATTTCTTTTATATGTCTGTCTTAACCTTGTGCTTTTGTTCCCTATTCCTTTCTACATAGAATTAGAAAGATTATGTTAAAGAGTGGCAAAGATTGTTATTACCATTATGAACTCTTGATTTCTCCCACAGATTCTCTCATTTGCTGCAATAATGAAATTCTTATTTTGACCATCAATATCTACTGGTCCTAAAGAAGAAGATAGAGTAGTTATAGTACTATAGACAGGAAATACAATTCAGTCGCTCAGTTTCTACACCTGTCTGTTTGATTTACAGCTTGATACTGAAATTGCTCTTAGTAGTTCATTTGACTTAATTAGATATCAGAAGACAATTAACAGAGACTTTTGCATGATAAGACAATTGTATGTAACCAATGATGGATTATTTCTGAATGTAGACAGAATTAAACCTGCATTTTTTTCATTTTTTTATTTAAATATTTTAAACAGCCCCTGTCTAAGGGAGTATGATAATGTATACTATGACAAATGTACTTTATTCTTCTAACACAGTAAGAATTGTTTAGATTTTGTTTCCCTGAAATATAGTGAAGTTCCTGTGTCTTGGTTTAGTGATGGTTTTATTTAACTTATTTGTAACTGAATTTTTTGTTAGTACCAAAAGAATTCATAATATGATCAGACTTAAAATAATTCCTGTGTATTATATATATATATATGAAATGGCATTTATTGAAAAACTTACCTTCCACATCAAGTTTATGGAATGTCAAAATTAATAAACAGTGGGAGGACTCTTTGCTGTTAGAAGAATGTCCTTGTTATTTTGAATCTCTTTTTTCAAAGTACCTCTACAGTTGCAGGTGCAGAATTCTAATTACACAAATGTTGATGCACTCAGATCTCTGTTTTCATTTTTTCTCTTTTGAGTTCTTAGGAAGTATCCAGATACGCTTTTTTATTTGTAAAAGTGGCCTATTGTACACTATGGAGAAAAGTTGAAGGTTAAACCAAATATATTCCCCCAAAAAACTTTAATATATTATTACTATTATTATTAATATTTTGGTGCTAGCCCTGGTGCTTGAACTCAGGGCCTGGGCACTGTCCTTGAGATTCTTTTTTTTTTTTTTTTGTCGGTTGTGGGGCTTGAACTATGGGCCTGGGCACTGTCCCTCAGCTCTTCAGCTCAAGGTGAGTACCACTTCTGGTTTTCTGAGTGGTTTATTGGAGATAAGAGTCTCACGGGACTTTTCCTGCCCCGGCTGGCTTTGAACTGTGATCTCCAGATCTCAGCCTCCTGAGTAGCTAGGATTATAGGCGTGAGCCACCGGCTCCTGGCTTGTCCTTGAAATTCTTTTTTTTTTTTTTTTTTTGTGGTCAGTTTTGGGACCTGAACTCTGGGCCTGGGTGCTGTCCCTCAGCTCTTCAGCTAAAGGCTAGCTCTCTACCACTTGAGCCACTGTGGCACTTTTGGCTTTTTCTGCTTATGTGGTGCTGAGGAATCGAACCCAGGGCCTCATGCATGCAAGGCAAGCACTCTACCTCTGCGCCACCTTCACAGCCCCTTGTCCTTGAGATTCTTTTGCTCAAGGATAGAGCTCTACCACTTGAGCCACAGCTCTACTAATGGCTTTTTTTGGTAGTTCATTGGAAATAAGAGTCTCATAGACTTTCTGTATAGGCTGGTTTTGAACCATGATCCTCAGAGCTCAGCCTCCTGAGTAACTAGGATTACAGGCATGAGCCACCAGCACCTGGCCTTAAATATTTTTCTTTTAAGTTAATATACACTAATAGTAGAGTAAAATATAGGGCTACATTTGCCAGTGTGTGAATTTTATTTTCTTCCTAGCTAGCTATCTCAAACTCATACTTCATTGTGCAAGTGTTTAGATACCAGGAATGATCTTAGACTGTTTTGGCTGAATAGTTTTTTTAGTTGTAATAATGATAAAAAGAACTGAGAAATGTCCCAGTTTCTTGTGATACTGAAGCAGGAGGATTGTGAATTGTAAACTAACTTGAACAACAACATAGCTAGACCCTATTTCAAAAAACAGACAAAAATGTTTATTAAGAGCTACCATTTATTGAGAACCTAATGTTTGTTCTAGGTCCTGGTTTTTTTTGTTTTGTTTTGGTTTTTTTTTTTTTGGGTCCGGTCATGGGGCCTGAACTCTGGGCCTGAGCACTGTCCCTCAGCTCTTTAGCTCAAGGCTAACTTCTACTACTTGAGCCACAGCGCCACTTCTGGCTTTTTTCTTTTTGCTTATGTGGTGCTGAGGAATTGAACCCAGGGCCTCATGCATGCAAGTCAAGCGCTCTTACCACTGAGCCACCTTCCCAGCCCTGTGCTAGGTCCTTTTTATCCTTAAAAACCACACAGCGATGGGGCTGGGAAGGTGGCTCAGTGGTATAGTGCTTGCCTCATACCACATAAGCAGAAAAAAACCGGAAGTGGCACCGTGACTCAAATGGTAGGGCGCTAGCCTTGAGCTGAAGAGCTGAGGGACAGCACCCAGGCCCAGAGTCCAGCCCCCACATCTGGACAAAAAAAACCCAAACAGTGCATTCTGTCTGCCCTTGATAGGTGTTGAAAATGCTGTGTTTTACACCAGCTAAGTGGCAAGATTTTAGTTCAATATGCTAAATTTCTAACTAAATTTCATGATCTTTTATCCTTCCTTTTTTTAGATAGAGAAAATTCATTTTAGAAATTATATTTATAGGACCAGTGTGGGTAGCTAATACCTGTAACTCTAGCTTCTCAGGAGGTCTGAGGATGATGGTTCAAAGACAGTTTAGCAGTAAAGTTGTAAGACTCTTATCTCTAATTAATCACCAAAAGGCCAGAAGTAGTGTGGGGATAGGAGGGAAAAACTGGAAGAGAGTAAAGGAGTGGTGACGTCCAAAAAGAAATGTACTCTTTACCTGACTTAACTATAACCCTTCTGTACATCAACTTTATAATAATTTTAAAAAAGAAAGTTAGAAGTGGATCTGTGGCTCAAGTGGTTGTAAGCTAGCCTTGAGGGAAAAAGCTAAAGATCAAGGGCTAGGCCTGGAGTTTTCCCAGTACTGGCACAAAAAATAAAATAAATTATGCTTTATGGGTAAATTTTATTTAGATTGTTGATACATACTGTGTGTTTTAGAAGAAACATTTTCCAGATATTTTGAGTTTCTACCATTTTAATCTGAAGTTTTGTGTTTTTAAAAAAATTGAATTGCGGGGGTGGGAAGGTGGCTCAGTGGTAGAGTGCTTGTCTTGCATGCATGAGGCCCTGGGTTCGATTCCTCAGCACCACATAAGCAGAAAAAAGCCGGAAGTGGCACTGTGGCTCAAGTGGTAGAGTGCTAGCCTTGAGCTGAAGAGCTGAGGGACAGCACCCAGGCCCAGAGTTCAGACCCTACAACTGGACCTCCCCCCCCCCAAAAAAAAATTGAATTGTTATTATAAAGGTGATAATTCAGAAGGGTTGCAGTTACATAAATCAGGTAATGAGTACATTTCTTTTTGGACAGTGTCACCTCTTCCCTTGTTCTCCCTAGTTTTCCCCCTCTCGTCCCCACCTACAATTTGTATATAGTTCATTTTCAACATAGTGTCTATTAAGTACCACTGCTGTATTTGTTCAGCCATTATCCCTCCATTTTTGTGCTAATCTGAAGTTTTTAAAAATTATTTTGTTTGGGCATGGTGGCAGTTAGGAAAGTCAAATGCGCATATACTTAGTGGTTAAAATGTCTTAAGTGTAAGATTTGGTTGTATTCCACAAGTTTTGTTAATTAAAAGCATTCTGCTTCCTGCTTGAAACATGATTTTTTTCCATAGAATCGATATTATAAAATAAAGCTAGTTCCTGAACACCAGTGTGTATCTAAACCAGCATTTTCCAATAAGTTTTATGAAACCTTCATTTCAAAAGAGGTTCAATGAAGCCGGGCGCCGGTGGCTCACACCCGTAATCCTAGCTACTCAGGAGGCTAGATCTGAGGATCACGGTTCAAAGCCAGCCCGGGCAGGAAAGTCCATGAGACTTATCTCCAATAAACCACTAGAAAACCAGAAGTGGCTCTGTGGCTCAAGTGGTAGAGCACTCGCCTTGAGCTGAAGAGCACTGGGACAGCGCCCAAGCCCAGAATTCAAACCCCACAACCAACAAAAAACAAAAGGTTCAATGAAAAAGATTTCCATATGTAATATTTGCAAATAATTAAAAACTATTCTTACTAGTTAGGAGACTTAGAATAGTACATGTTATCATATTAAGGGGCTTGATGAAATTTAGGAATGTAGTTTTAAGTAGAATTTATACCTAGCACGTACAAAGCTCTGGACAAAAAAGAAGGGGGGAAAAAAAGGCCCGATAAAGTCTGGCATTGTGGCACATCTGGCACAGTACATTTCTGAAATCCCACTGTTCAGGAAGCTGAGGTGGAGGTTGCAAGTTTGAGGCCAGCCTGGTTGCATAGTAAGACTGTCTGAAAATAAAAAGTCTGGGGGCTGGGAAGGTGGCGCAGCAGTAGAGTGCTTGCCTTGCATGCGTGAGGCCCTGGGTTCGATTCCTCAGCACCACATAAGCAGAAAAAGCCAGAAGTAGCGCTATGGCTCAAGCAGTAGAGCACTAGTTGAAGAGCTGGGGGACAGCGTCCAGGCCCAGAATTCAGACCCCACAACTGACAAAAAAAAAGTCTGATAAGTCTTGATGAAGGAAACGTTTAAAACTTGGCTTAATCTAATGTTTTTCAAATGTATTTCACAGTAACCATGTCACCTGACTAATACTCCCCAAAAAGAGGAATAGTCTTGTAATATAGTAGGAATAGAGGAATAAGTGCAATATATGGAAATTGAACTTAATCCTAGAAAAGGAATAGATGGTTTGTATGTAATTTGCCAAACATAAGACTTTAATTTTTGGTAACTTATGCAAGAAACTTTAAAATGCAGAACAGAAGAGGGTGTGGTTGATGTGGTTGGTTATAAGCTGCTGTGGTTTAGTACTGATAGGATATTGCTCCAAGATTTGCTGCCCTAAGCAGTTTTCCAAGTGTCCTTACCATCACCACCTGCATAGCTGGTTGACATGAGCGCATCTGCTACTTATTGGGAAAATAGAAGACAGATTAGCAAGTGTCTCTGCCTATGGCTTATTACCCCAGGCCTTGGTTAGTTTGTTACCTCCTATACTCATCTAGGTTTTTATTTGAGGAGTAATTGGGGGAGGTAATGGTGACAGTAGTTAAGTGAGGGTGGATTTGGCTAATGTTTTAGTCATGATTTTATCACAGCTGCCCAACCTGAAATTGTTTTTCCTTAAGTCTGCCAAGCATTTCAGTTCTATTGCCAATGGGATTATTGGAGTTGGAAGAGAACTTCTATAAATTACTGTTCCTCTTGTTTAATTCTTTCTACCTTGATAACAGTGTTGACTAGAAATAGAAGAAGGTTGTACAGGCTTATTCTTTGTCTCAGTATTATTTGACCTTTTTAAGTAAAGGAGTTTATAAACAAGTTTATATATGCCTTGTTTGACTCTGATAGTGTTAGTAGTAACTGTAGCAAACATAAGGAAAAGAAAACTACACCCTCTCTGAAATATTTCGGTATAAGCAGTTAAAGGACAGAATATTTTTTTTTCTTCCTACACACATTGGGTGTGAAGAAGACACACCCAATTGAAAACTAAGCACTTCTCTAAATATGGGGAAATACAGACTTAAGGCTCCCATTTTTAAAGATTTCCAAGTTTAGATGTAAATTCACAATGCAGTGAGCACTGCTTGAGGGAACAAGAAAG